TCTTCCTATTCAGGCACCTTTCACTGGGGCTCTGAGCATCCAATGGTGTCTTGGTTGACAAAGCTGCTGGCTGTCCTAAGTCCCTCTGGTCTTCCCCACTGAAAGAAAGACCAGAACACTGGGCCATGTTCAAATAGCTGCATTCTTTTCCATGTGGTCAGGCAAGGAGCAATGGAGCTTCCCTCCCAGCCCCCAGCCAGCTCCTTTCGGTGTGACTGGGACTCTGAGGTGCATAGCTTCCTCCACTCACGCAACTGTAGGAGCTCCGCTCACACATGTATGCTTTCTTTTCCCTGCTGCGTCCAGCTCAAACAGCTGCTCTTGATTTTCAGCTCACCTTCTCTGAGCTAGAAGGTTCCTGGTGAAATAAGTCACTCCCCCCCTCTTAGAAGAAGAGAAAGTATAGCTCAAGTCAGGCCATCACTGAGGAGCTCTGGCTTTCCCCAGCTGTCACTTCTCTTATGTGTGGTTGGCATGGCAGGAGCAGGAAGACTTGAAACTCAAGGATTTTTAACCAGAAGCCTCAATTTCCTCTATGCAAAAAACCTTTTACCGGCTTTGCCTTGAATGTCACTTTCCCCCAGAGCCTTTTCCTTGGTAACAATAAAACAGTCCAAAGGCAGGAAGGTGTGATTTAATTTATAACTTGGGGGAGGGGTGGTTCCCCTTGAATCAACTGGAGATCTGAACAAGTCCCACAGAGGCAGGTCCTCAAATGGGCTGATTTTGTCAGACTTTGGTGAATGTGGCAAAACCAGGGACACTGTGCAAGAGAAAAGAGCTTATGTTGATCTTCACTGAAAGTACAAGAAACATGTTGGGCCCATCTGCTCCTCTAGATTGGCACTGTTGACATTTATTTTTAACTGTGGCAGAAAACACACACCATAAATTTTTTCCTCCCTCCCTTCCTCCTTCCCTCCCTCCCTTCCTTCCTCCCATCTTCCCTCCTCCCTTTTCCTTCCCTTCATCCCTTTCCGTTCTTCCCTCTTTCCCCCAAGAAACGTGAAGTGCTTTAAGTCCACCAACCCACTGGCAGCAGTCAGTTCCACAGAGCTGAGGAACCTCCCCAGGTAGGTGGGTGTCCTTATTTTCTCAAGAGGAAACTGACACGCAGGGGGTTCAAGAGCTTGTCCAGGGCCACAAAGCCTCCTGCTCTCTTAGCCCTCATGTGTATGTCCTCTTCTGGGAGATGCTTTTGTGGCCACTGGTGAATTTCATGTTCTATAAAGCAGTGACTATTTAGGGAACATCTAACATGGAGTTTGCTTACATTCTAGGAGAGTAAGTATAAAAATGCTGGAAATACGTATATATGTATATATATATGTGCACAAATACATAATCACATGCATTGTTATACATTATATGTCATTAATCAACTATTTTCCTTAGTTCTAGAGTTGCCATACACACTTCCTAACCATATTTGTCTACTGACCCAGAGCTAGTGCATCAGGAATGAAAGAGAAGGGCCAGGAAATCTGCTTCTTAACAAACCTTCCAGGTGAGTCCCATGTAAGCTAAAATTTGAGAACCATCCGACCAGAGGAAACACGATCAGCAGCCTAAATACTATGCTATTTTTACTTTTATATTTTCATCGCATTGAAAGAAAACCTTTGCTCTCTTAAATCATTACCATTTAAATATCCTTTATTTAATTAGAGGGTAACTGTTTTTTGTTCTTTTTTTTTTGGTACTGGAGATCGAACTCGGGTCCTTGTGCTTGTGCAGCAGGCGGTGAAACCACTGAGCTAAATCCCCGGCTTGCGGGTAACTTTTTCATAGATGTGAAAGGTTAGGATTTGTGAAGTCTAGGTTAATGAGTATTTTTATTTTATTACCAGATTTAACATAGATAATATTTAAAAGCCCTCAGCTTTTCTAAGAAAAACACACATTTCTTCCTTGGTTTGTTTGGTAGGCGCTTATTTGGAGCCCAAGTCTGAGCAGAAGAGGAGGCTGCATCTTAAGCAGAAGAGCCTTTTGGGCTAACACAGCTCGACGAGGCCCAGCTTACCCATGAGAAGTGGGCTAAAGGCCTTTTGTTTACCACCCCCACTCAAACGAGTAGGAGTAGAAATTGTGAAAAACAATTTACCTAACTTAGGCCTTCAGAATTTGGAAGACTAGAATGATAATGAACTTTGCTATAACCTTGCCTATGGCCACTCACTTGGAAAACCCCAAATATCCTCGGTATTACAACATCTCCCCCCCGCCCCGCCCCCATGCCCTAGGCTGGGCCTGCTCCAGCCTATGCTCCACACTACATCTCTGACCATTCCTCAAAGTTTTCAGGAAGGAAGCCCAAAATTTGGGGCTGGCTTTCTGTGTCTTTCTCTCCCTCTCCCACCTCAGCAGTCTCCACTCTTGCTGGCCCAGTCTTCTCCTTCACCAGTCCTCCCACCCTGCACTACTCCCTGCTCTACAAGGGTTTTCTCTGCTGCGAGCCGCCTGCTTTCCTTTAGGAAGCCATCTGGGCCTTCTGGCTACAGGAAACAGAAACTCCACCCAAATTAGCATTGGCACAAAAAAGAAGAGAAAGAGCGCTGGCACAGAAAGCCAAGCTGTGTCTGCTCAAATGGTCCCCTCGAGAAGCGCCCTGGGCCTCACACACTTGTCAGCCCTTGGTTCTGCTTCCTTCTGTGGCTTCATTCTTAGCAGATTCCCAAGTACTGGCTGGGTGGTTAGGCTCACTCCATGCTGAAGTGCTGATACTTAAGCCCAGGTGGAAAGAGTTCACCTCTTTCTTAATTCTTCTAGCAGAAACCAAGAGGTTTATGTGCCTGGCCTTTCTCAAACTTGTAAGTATGATTAGCCAGCACTGAGAAAAACAGTGCCTGACAGATTAGGTGCTCAATAAATAGTTAATTGTTGTTGCCATTCATTTTTACTAATTAAGCATGAATGAATTCATGAGAGACCCCTCTGGTATAGTGTGCCAAGAGCAGCGAGAATTCCATCTCAGCTGCAGGAAGCAGCCCAGGGCAGGCCCCACCATGGAAGGCATGAGTAGGGTCAGGAAGGGCAGTGCAGGAAAGCCAATGCCTGTGCCTGGTCCATAATGCAGTATGGGAGTTCCCCAAGCCAGGACAGGGCATTCGGTGAGGCAGTAAGTTGCAAAGAGATGGAAGATACTGGGTAAAGGCTGAAGGGCATCATGCTAACTGTGAAGCTCACAAAACTTTAGTTGTCCAGATGTGCTGGCCTCTTGGACACGGCTGGGGAGAAGAATGTAGATAAGGGCAAAGAGGTGCGCGCATGTGCATGCAGGGTGACAGTCAGGTCACCAAAGGCCACGCACACCACACTCAGGGCTCACTGTTAGGTAGACAGCAGCTCTTGAGGAGGTTTTCAAGCCAGGATGGAGGGCCATAAGGTTGGATTCCAGAGCACCTGCTGGTTGGGTGCTCCTGAACACAGTACTTCAGCCTCCCCTGTCCCTCCTCAGAGTGGATCCGAGGACAGGCTACATGACCAATAGGAAGCTATCCCCCTAGACCACATGGTAGGTAGACATCCAATGAATGCTTGTGCTGCTTCCTTTCCTGTCAATGGCTGATTTTTACATTTGACTTACTGGAAGGGGAAAAAAATCCAGTGAATTGAAAGCTCCATGTATATCATTTCTCAAAGCTACAATGCAGAGAAAGTGGGTCAGGTGTTACTGCCTAACATTCATGTGGCTTGGGATGGTTTCAGTTTCCTTCATCCCAATTTGGTGCATGATTGAAAGAAGTGAGATGCATGCACATGTTTCTGAAGACATGTGTCTAACTCTTGTCACTTTGGAATCTAGTGAAGGTGTACAGAGCTTTGCGATATTGTCAAATCATTTTAAAATTCATATAGCTCAAGGGTAAAAATGCAAACAGGGATTTTTTTTTTTTTTTTATAAATCACAGAGGTAGACAGGTTTGCCTGGAATAAGAACTTCTTTCCCCCACCCATATGCATTCCTTCATGAGAACAAATTAGTCAAGAGTGGAAGATTAAACTTGCCGCAGAGATAGGCAGTACTGATACTGAGGAGGGAACCGATTCCAAATACAATGCTTTGTTCAAAAGTTTTAAAAGCAGACATAGAGCTAACCTGTTTCCTTTATGGTATAATGGAAAAGATAGTGATTCAAAGTCAGACAAGCCATGTTCTACCTGCAAGTTACTAGTTATAAAACCCTGGGCAAATCACACAGCCTCCCTACGATTCAGCTTGCTTCTTTGCTGATATAAAGGAGAAATCCTAATCTTACAAATTCTTATCAGGCTGAATGAAATGATACAGTTTATAATGGGTTAAAAACTATGACATACTGAAAAATGTAAAGCTCCTTTTCAGGGCGGTAACTGTAAGTTTCCTAAAATCACACAAGATTAAACAGAAGCTCCTTGTATCATGAACTGTTTTACATGGAATTTATATACGCAGTGATAAAATACAATTGCTTTTACTCTATGACAGGTATGTTGGACCATGTACAGCCCATAAGATTGTTTTTGACCCTCAACTTGGGTATTAAAGAAATAACCCCTTGAAAGGGAAAGGACTTCTGAAATAATTTTTTTTAACTACCAAGTCATATGAGAACAATCAATACAAGTTGAATGTGTAAACTTTAACTTATTCTTCTGATGGTTGAACTTCATTAAGTTCATAAATGGGGACTCAGAACAAAGTGAAATATTAACTTTCTAAAATTCCAAAGTGATCATAAGGAGGGACACACTAGTAGGGACATTTACAAACTATCTTCATAAGCCCAGCCAGGCGCAGTATTATTCAGAAATGAGTAATGCCAGCCTGCAGCCTGTTCAAGTCAATGACCACAAATGCCCTAAAATGTGGCCTTGATGGTCTTATTTCTACCACCATCAATGGAAATTATACATGAAACAAAATTCCTCCTCTTCTCTACATTTGCTCTGGAAAAAATTCCCACAAATTCCTACAGGCTAATTCTTTAATTTATAAAAGAAATGCATGGAATTTTGACCTTTCCTCAGGTTTGCATGTTTCCAGCTTCCATGGTGTGTTCTGCTGATGACCCAGGAGCTCTCTTGTCCAACAGAGGTAGCTGCTGTTCATGGAGCCATGTTTCTATTTTGTTAAAAAAAGAAAAAGTTTCTGGAAATATCACAAGTTGCTAAGAATCTAGTTTATCAGAGTTTACTAAGACTCTGTAGCATATTGTTTTAATCTTATTTAAATATATTTAATTACCAAGAGGTCTATGGATATACCTCTTCAGAGCTAGAAGGCAAAGGATACAGGGGTGTATTTCAAAAGTGGTTTGGGGGGTATTTCCCTTGTCTGTCTGGTAATCTAGGCACTATGCTCTACTTTATTTCAGTAAACACCAGATGTCCCCTTTTCTGACTTAACATCACCATTTTAAAGAAAACTCGTGGATTATTTGATAAAAATAAAAATGAGCATGAATTTGAATTGTCTCAGTGATGGTGACAGATAAAGTGAGCAGGGGAAACAGGATAGAAGAGTGTGGTGGGAGCTGATGGGAAGAGTCACAGCTCTTCTGGTTATGAAGATAGCATAGCCAATTTAAACAACACAAACATTTCCTCACCTGGTTCAAAAACAAAGCAGGAATTAGTTGACTAACAACTGAAACATAAAAAGAGAGGGCAGCAAGCTGCAGGAGCAGCTCCATGAGGCTCAGATCTGGTCCTCAGGACTCAGTTTCTCTCTCTCAGGGTTCCATTCTTAGGCCTGGGTTGTGGCAAGAATGTTCTAGAAATCCAAGGTCTGCTTCCTGTTGAATCCAGCCAAGTAGAAAGAAGGTGAAATGTCTTTTTCCTGCAGAACTCATGCTAAAAGTTTACTGTGTTTCATTGGCTCTGAAATGACCATGTGTCCATCCTTGAACCAACCTCACGGCCAAGGAAATGTGAGCACCCGTCAGCCTAAATCACAACCCGCCTCTGACCTCCTGGTGGACTTGACTCTACCATAAGCTTATGAACCGAGAGTGTGAGGGGAGGGGGCTCAGGGTACAGTTTTCAGAAGATGGTGCTTAGATCCTGGGTGGTGAAAATGACAACTGTTCACTGCGGGGGACGGAAGTGTGGAGACCTCTGTGTCCTGATTCGACCGACAAAGACGATGGTGGCAGAAGTGCTGCAGAAGTAGGGAAGAGGGCCATACTAATGTGAGGCCCTGGATAGAAACGGTTGGAGCCATGAAAGTTCTGTCCCATCCACCCTGCTTGATGACGCCTTGAGCTTGGGCCTCTGTTTTTCATTTGTGTAGGAAAGAGAGTGAGACCTGGTGAAAGGCTATTCACTGGGAGTAGTCATCCTGCCCTCCGTGTCTGGGGATTTTACATCCCTGGATTCCACCAACAGAGGATTGGAAATACTCTAAAAAGGAACTGTGTCTGCAATGAACATGTACAGATTTTTTTTCATTATTTGCTAAATAGTGAAATATGACAACTATGTAGCACTCACATTGTATTAGGTATCATAAGTAATATAGAGATGATTTAAAGTGCATATATGGGAAGATGTGTGCATATGTTATATGCAAATGCTCCACCACTAATACAAGGAACTTGAGATTCTGTGGATTCTGGTACCCATGGGGTCCTGGAACCAAGAGACAACTGTGTATGTGAGAATTACATGGAGAACTGTCTTATTTATTTATTTATTTTTATTTTTTTCGGTACTGGGGATCGAACTCGGGTCCTTGCGCTTGCGCAGCAGGCGGCGAAACCACTGAGCTAAATCCCCGGCCCAAGAGAACTGTCTTTAAATGACTAAGGTCAGGCTCAGTTCTCCGGCCCTTGCCTGTTGAGAACCATTGGAAAGGGCTCTGAGCTGACAATCAGGGCAAAGCCCCTGTGAGCTGCATTGAGAGTAATGTGAATATTCACTCCTCAGTGCGGCTAGGCAGATTCCTAAGTGATGGCAGCATTCCCAGCCTGCAGTCAAAGTGATAAAAGTGGCATGATGGTGATTCCTCCTGCTCCCTGAAGACCCACACATGCCAACTTCTCCAAAAGATGTGATTTTTTATCTGTCCACATCTGCCTGGAGTGTGGCCCATTAGGGTTCAGGGGAACCCTAGGTCCTTTCAGAGGGTCCATGATGTCAGAACTATTTTATTAGTTATGTTAAAGAAGCTGCCACTTGTTAAGTTCTGTTTTAGTATATTTTTAACATCCACGTTTCCCGGAGACGCCTACAGAAACATTCCTCTGATTTGCAGTGGCATATCTGTGAGGCCAGAGCTTGTCCATACACTTCAAATATGACAATATATCATCACAGGCTGAATGCAAGAGCAGATGTGAGAATCGAGCTGCCTCCTTTTAAGGCAGACACTAAAGAGATTTACAAAAAATGTGACTTTCATTTTGGAAAACAGGGTTATCTTTCATAAAATATATTATGGCATTAGCACATAGTGGTCATGTTATGAGTTTACTACTGTTATTTTTAAAAGAATTAATAAACGTTTTGAAATTTTCTCATTCTTACTTTCTAAAACAATGACCACCAAGAGATATCACTCACTGAAGCACAAGCTCTTCCTGGTCCTCAGTAAATTTAAAGAAGATGAAGGGGCCCTGAGGCCGAAAGGTTCAAGCACCTCTGGACTAGAATCTCTGAGTCAGACCCCTGGGATTATTTTACTTTGAAGTGTCCCAGGCTTGCAGAGCTTCCCACATGCTGTCTGTCTCAGAGAATGAGCACAAACTACAAAAACAGACACCCTCTAGGTACTGTGTAGCCTGATCTGTACTATAAAACCTGAGAAAATGGGGATGAATCAACAAGTTCATTACTGAAAATTTGTTCACGCTCATTACACCCACATCTGTTAGGTTTGGTCTTTTGAGACTGTCACTGGCATGTAATTCTACTTCCACCCACAAGGTGGCAGTGTTGCACAGAAAATACCAGTGACTAACGCCGGCTGTTTCCCGGATTTGGGCTGGGGAGACATAGGGAGGGTTTGGCGCACCTCTTAATGACACACACCGAATGTATGACATTCTTTTTGTTCCAGTAAAGCTCTTACCTTGAGGGCAATGATGGTGAGAGGCTGGTAAAAAGAGATCCTTTCTGATAAAATGTCAACCGAACGGCCTAGGGGGTCTCTGGACTTGGGCTCCACATCACCGCATCACCCTGAGTGCCTCATAGCCAGATGCGCAGGCCCTAAAGCTAAATCTGAATTTCTGAGGGCGGAGTCAGGGATGTTTTTGTTTGTTTGTTAAATTCCTCAGTAAATTGCAGTGTGCAGCCAGAGGTGAGTCACAAGCTCTCCAAACTTTGTCACTAAGAAAGAAATCACCTGCTGGACTCAGGAATGAACACTAACTTTTCCTTCTTCTTTCACTGAATGCTTTTAATCCCACTCAAGTTAATTACTTCCCATCACTTAAGTTTCAGCTGGTAACCTGGGAGAAAAGAGTCGGGGCAAACCCTGCACCAGCTCAGGGGCCCACAAACACCAGAGCTCTTGTCTCAGAAGTGTCCTCCTGCAGGTCTTTGTATGTGTGTGAGGAGGAAGAGAAGAAATGCCACAGACTAAAGGAGGACCGAAGAGTCTCAGAAATAAGAGGCATGAACTAAGGGGGACAGATGCCCCCTATTAAAAGAAAAACGCTCCCCCTGAATGTCTGATAAACTTTACCACCTTGTCTCCTTTCTAATCTAACCCAGGTTCTCAGCCATGGCTGCACTTTAAAATCACCTGAGGAGGCTTGAACTACATCAGTGGAGTCTTTGACTCAATAGGTCAGGAAGGGCTGAACACAGGTATTTTTTAAAAATCTCCCAGAATGATCCTAACTTGTGGCTGGTCTGAGAGGCACCAATTTAACCAAATGAGCTACTGCTCAGACAGGGTGATAAATCCCACATCAATAGGGAATTCTGGTATAAAATAACGCTTGACAAAACCTGGTTGCATGAGCAGATGTAATCGAAGTTGTAATCCATTCTTACAGTGCTCTATTCCATTCCATTTATGCTGTGTCTGTGAGGGCAGAAGACAGATGACCAAAGTCATTACTGCACCTGTCAGTTTTACTAGCAAAGTTATGTTCATCTTCATTTATCCTTGACTCCAGTGAAAAGACTGGTTATGTCAGTTACATATCATTTACAAAGAGCCTCCTGCGAGGAAATCCATAGGTTTTCCAGACCCTGTAATGTGAGCTTATCTTTTTCACCTCCTCGATTCCATGAAGGATCCAGGCTTTTTCTTTGGCAGCCCCTCTGCTCGGAGAAGAGCAAGGGCAACATCACGCTTGAGTCTTAATGAAGACACAAAGCTTCACCGTCCTCCCAGATCAACATCCCCATCCACTGTGGCACAGCTGGGGGACCACCCAAGAAAAAGGCTGCCACATAATCACCCACTAATGCCCACCTGGCTTCTAAACTCAGTGCATTTTATGTGGGTGAAGAGAACGGTGGTGACATATAGGAGTAGAAATGCTATGGGCTCAGGGCTGCGAATGAACTCTTCACATCTTATTAGTTACTCCCTGCCACACCTCCCCTCCCAAATCCATTCTCTGTCCCATCTTTCCCTTTGGTAGGGAAGATGTCCCCTATGGGTTGTACCTCCAGCTCCTTTGCCCTCTGGCTTCTGCTGGATTTGGGCAACAGGGGGCACAGATGTTAGATCAGAGCATAGGTAGGGAGAAGTTGGGGTACTTCCTCTTCTGATGGGTGCTGCAGCAGTTCAAGGCTGGGCCCCCGAGACTGTGGGATCCCCATCCTATGGGAGGCCCGTGCCAGCTCTCGTTAAACTCCAATGACCCTGGTGCCTTCCCTGTCCCCTTGAACACTGGGGTGGTGACCACTTTGCCAGGCCCAGCCCCCGGGAAAGTCCCCTGTAAAGCAAATTCTCTCTGGAACCCCAGCAGGCTGTGCCTTCCACTTCCAGCAGGGACCCTGCTGGGTGGGGTGCCTTCCAGAGTGTATCTGAATTTTTTTGGGTAATACTGGGGATTGAACCTAGGCCTTCACACTGAACTACATCCTCACTGCTTTTTATTTTGAGGCAGGGTCTAGCTAAGTTGCCCAGGTAGGACTTGAACTTGCAATCCTCCTGCC